CTGGTGAATTCAGGGTGAGTGTGAGAGGAGAGGGACAGCTATTGCTTGAACGTCTACAATTTCAAGTTCAAAGCACACCAGTTTCTTTTTCCTGAAGCTGTACTGCCCTCTCCTGGTCATCTCCAGAACGACCCCTAGAACAGAACTTAGACACCAGTGATGGAGTTGCAGATGAGCTGGGCTGAGTTTCTTCCAGTGTTGTCCAGATCAGATGATGTCAGGAGAGTCCATTGGTGTTAGTTCTCACTGTATGATGTAGAATGTTCATGGACTTTGTTCTTTATTTCATTCAGTACTGTAAAATGCTCAAATGCTCTGCCTATGGAATATGTTTGGGGAAAATAAGCCCAGGGCGTAGATCCTCAGAGCTGTAGGCAGAGCCAGTTTGGGCTTGAGGAACTTGAGGAACAATCCCAGCACACCTCACTCCTGCAGAACGCTGGTGGACTCAGTGGAACAGACAGTTCTGACAAGTGCAGTGGGACTGGGATTTCGGAGCTGTGTGGATGCACAAGCACACCTCTTGGTCCCTGTCAAGCACAGGGTTTTTTTTGTTGGGGGGGGTCCTAATGTTTTGGCCACTGGGTCTGTTGTGTCAACCCTTGCCACGCTTCTCGCAGAGCAGGTCTGACCCCCCTGTCCCGTGCTCCTCGTTGCAGCTGGAGAGCAAGCGGGACGCCTTCTCTCCGGTTCTGCTGCAGTTCTGCACCGACCCCAAGAACCCCATCACTGTGATCCGCGGCCTGGCGGGCTCCCTGCGACTCAGTGAGTACCCCCCGACCCCGCAGCGTCAACGTCACTGGGACACCGCGCCTGAGGGAGCAGAGGTGCTCGGGATTGCGTGAGAGAGCCCCCGTGTGGTGGGCTGGCCTGGCCAGGCACCGCAATAGCAGCTGACCGGCCACCAGAGGGCGCCAGAACGCCCAGTTAATCCTGCACATGGACTCGGTTCATTACTGGATTATTGGTGAAGGGGGGAAAATGTACATTCCTGCGGGGCTTTAGCTGATGGACTGGAGACTTTAAAAAGGACGGTGCCTTTGGTTTTGGGATTTGTGTTAACAGTAACAGGAAGGAGAAGGCCTGCAATAAAGCCCCCAGCGCCCATTTTGATGTCCATTGGGAGTTTTCATGTGCGGATTCCTGGGGTTGCCCCAGCTGAGGTCGGGGTACCTTAATCGGCTCAGATGGGAGTCCCTCCGTTTCCTCTTTTCCTCACCGCGGGCCTTCCTCCCTATCCGCAGACCTGGGCCTGTTCTCCACCAAGTCCCTGGTGGAGGCCAACGGCGATCACTCAGTGGAGGTCAGGACGCAGGTGCAGCAGCCCTCCGACGAGAACTGGGACCCCAGTGGCTCCACGCAGACCTGGCCCTGCGAGAGCAGCCGGTCGCACACCACCATCGCCAAGTACGCCCAGTACCAGGCGTCCTCCTTCCAGGAGAGCCTGCAGGTGAGAGCCGCTCCATACCATCATCTCCCAGTACTCCCAGTACACCCAGTACCAGGCGTCCTCCTTCGGGGAGAGCCTGCAGGTGAGAGCCGCTCCATACTATCATCTCCCAGTACTCCCAGTATGCCCAGTACCAGGTGTCCTCCTTCCAGGAGAGCCTGCATGTGAGGCCCACTCGTACACCACCATCACCCAGTACTGGTACTCCCAGTATGCCCAGTACCCCAGAAGAATATGCAGATAAGAGCCGGGCCTCATGTCTCTTCCAGGTGGAACCTGGCACAGAGGTTCGAGAGAAATTTGGAGGAGTGGCTCGTATTTTTTAAGGCGTGTATTTATTAAATCAGTCTATTCAAGCCAAACTTCACCAGAATGTAATACATTTACCAGTAAGGAAGTGCGGTTTTGGGAGCAAGCTGGCTCACCTCATCCTGACCCGTGTGTGCTTTGTGTTTCTAGGAGGAGAAAGGCAGTGAAGAGGAGGATGAGGATGAGGAGGAGCCTGTCAGTGCCCCAGAGCCCACATCCAACAGGTACACCTCCAATTCCTGAGGACTTTACTAAGTGCTGTATTACTGTATGAACCTCTCTCTCAGTGTGGTGTTTTAAGCTACTGGAGTGTCCAGGCAGTGTGTCTGTATTAACCCCTCTCTCTCTCAGTGCAGTGTTCATGTACTGTAGTGTCCAGTGTGTCTGTATTAACCCTTCTCACTCAGTGCAGTGTTAATGGACTGTAGTGTCCAGTGT